AAACCACTGTCATTTTGGGGTTGTAGACGAAGTATACACGATTTGGGCTTCGGGGACCGAGAAACTGCCCCTCTATAGTCCTGTATCATCGCTATGTGAATATACATATGTAACTCATAGAATTCCTTTGTAATCCCTCTAGGGTTGAGGGATTAAGGAACAAAAGAGCTCCCTAAACCCTAGCCCCTACCCCTTCATGGAACCCTACAACCCCAAACCCTTTAAACCCCAAACCCTGAAACCCTGAAACTCTAAAATTCTACGTAAAACCCTAAACACTAAAACCCTAAACCCCCCAAACCCTATGTGAGGCCTCGTTGCCACTAAAACCCTTTAACCCCCCAAAACCCCATTGTTAGGCCTCGTTGCAGCCGCTGGGCGCAGGGCCAGGCTACAGCAGCCCAGGTGGCCAAGGCTGGGCGCAGCATCAAGGGGTTTTTGGGTTGCTGTTAAGGAACTTAAATTAAGTTACCATAATGGGTATATATAGTAAATACTAGGGTTCCCCCAATATAGTAACTTAATTTAAGTTCCTTAACAGCAACCCAGGTTTTTGGGGTTTAGGGGCTTGAGGGAGTTGAGGGTTTCAGGGGTTTAGGGCTTATGGGGTGTAGGGGGTTTAGGGGGCTTAGCGGGTTGAGGGTTTAGGGTTGAGGGGGTTTATGGTTTAGAGGCTTGTGGCTCTAGGGTTGTTTAACGTGGTATTGCAGGGGTATAGTGGACATATGGGGACTGTAGGTTTCAGGGTTCAGGGTGTAGGGGTTTGTGGCTTCAAGGTGTTTAGAGCTTTTGAGCCTAAGGGGCCTCAGGGTTTCAGGGTTGCGGGCTCTTGGATTTTCAGCTTTCAGGATGTTATGGTTCAGGGTTTAGGCTTTGAAGGGTTTTAGTTTTAGGGCTGGAGGGCTTAGGATTTCTTCAAAGGGGCTTATGCAGGGTTCAGGGACTACGGTGCCTGGAAAATAGCACAGCAATTTTCAATTGGGGTGAAGTTCCTCCTGAACCCTGCAAATGTGGTTCCTTTTGATTTTGGTGTGTGTGTTTACATCAGGGTTCTTGTCGGGACTAAACCCCAAACCCTGAAGATGTCGCATTGGAAGGCATTCAGTATACTAAATTACTGTAATTAAGTTACTATATTGGGGGAACCCTACTATTTACTATATATACCCATTATGGTAACTTAATTTAAGTTCCTTAACAGCAACCCAGTATACAGGAAGGTTGGGGTGAAGGTTCTGGGCTTAGGGCGCAATCTTAGTGGTCTGGGCTTATTACTTATGAGTGCAGGGTCAGAGTTTTGGGTGTGGAGTTATCAGCCTAGGGCGAAGGATACAGGACTTAGAGCTCAGGATATGGGACGTAGGATTTAAGATTTCTTCCTGTAAAAGGTCGGATTTTGGAATTAGGGTGTGAGCTTTAGGCTGACCTCTTGCCAGTTCGGCTTCAGGTGGGACTTACATGGGAGGGTTTAGGGGCTTAGGGTTTAGGGTTTAGGATGTGCATACACCAGCTCCACCAACATCCCCGCCGGTATTAAGACGGTTTTTGCTTGAATCTAAGTTTTAGGGAAGGTCCAAGGGGAGCTGCCTAAGAGGACTCGTTTGATTGGATGAGCTAGGGGTGGATTTATACGCTCGGGCGGGTGTTCAGAATCTAGGAACGGTTCTCATTTTGGGGATGAATGTTGTCAGGTTGCTGTTGTTCGCTCTTGTAAGTCTTGCTACGTCGAGCTGTGCAAGAGCTTACATGGCTGGATTGCTTTAGGTTGCCCACTGGGGCATGGAATTGTTTGCAATGTGCATTGTAAGCTTTAGCAAGATGCCAGAAGAAGCCCCAAGGCTTGAAGCCGCAACAACTCAAAGCCTGCCAGATAGTTCTTTCTTGAGGATTGTCACAAAGCCCTTGTTCCTGGTATGTTGAAGGAGCGTTTTCGGGTAGTCCGGATATAGTTCTATATCTGATAATCAAAATAATGAGAGGACCTTCGGGACTCCAGGGATACATGGGGATGGGCGTCCCTAGAAGGGAGTCCTCGACTATGCATCCCCAGATTGGACGTGTTTTTGGGACGGAGCTTGGGGTTCGGGTTTTCGGGCGTAAATGGCCCATGGGAATTGCGTTTCGCAGTAGTACATACATATGCCAAGTGCAGCCCATGCATAGTTCTTAGCACACTCCTGCCTTATCGTGATGATGCTTGCGAACGTTTTAGCTTACCTTAGAGCTCCCAGTATACCCAGATAATCTATCTTTTATCATAATAGGGTTTCATTTAATTCCAGGCCATTAACCCCCATAAATTTTAGACCGCAGTAATGTCAAAGCTCATACAAGGACCATATATACCCTCAACCCCAACCTTTACAACAGCCTTAAACCCAGCTTCCATGCCATGTTATGTTCTTGGCAACTGGTTCGATATTTATCTAGCCCCCAACAACTCTTACGCAAGACCTTCCTCCCAAGACCCTAGCAACGCAGACCCCTAACCCCTAAGCCTAAACCCCCAAACTCACAACGCTCTAAACCTGCACTAAATTCATTAAGGCACAAGCCCACAACACCGCAAACCCTAAACCAACAAACCCACAACTCCCTAGACCCTTAAAACCCTGGGCCACTTCAGAGGAGCATAAGCCCTAAACCCAGAATCCTAAATCCTAAACCCTAAAACCTAAAGCCGGAACCCTAAACCCTAAACCGGAGGAGTATCTGGCCAAGCTCAAGGAAATCAAGCAGAGGGAGAAGCGTGCTCGCCGGATCTACCAGGCCAGCTGCTCTATGTCCAGGGTTTAGGGTTTAGGGCTACTGCTGATACTAAAAAACCTGCATCACATTGTTATACTGTAATGCCATATGTCCCAGGGTATCACGCACTAAGGATCAGTCAGGATTTTTGATATCCTCAATCGGGTTTGGGGGTTAGAGGTTTGGGGTTTGCGGTAGGGTTTAAGGTCCAGTGTTGAGGGTTGAGGTGCGGGTGCGTTTTTTTTGGGGGGTTTGGGGCGGTGAGATAGGTTGTGGGGTGTGTAGTGCTTGTTCAAGAATGAAGGTTGGATATGAGGTTCACGGCTTAGACCTTAGGGTTTAGTATCTAGTCTTGAAAGGGAGTTTGACAGGCCCGACCCGTAAGGATCTATAAAAAGTCATATCATACTCAGAGGGTCCTTGGTTTTCTGGGGTTGGGGTAGTCCAAATTCCTAAAATCCTGCATAGATGCCTGATACTTCGGGAATTATGGTGTGATAGTATAGCAGGGTCATGCTGGATTTCAAGCATCAACAGTATCACCCCCAATATAACCTCAGTTTCCATTTCATCTTCCATTTGCTTTTAGTGGTTTCTTCATCATCGAGCCTTACATATTGTTTGATGCTAGGGGCAGGGGTGCTTAATGTTTTCGGGGAAGGATTGACAAGCACGACCTATCTAGGCAACTAAGCACTACTACATAGCACATCAGCTGTCCTTGAATTGACAGGCTCGCACGACGCTTGCGACTTCTCAGCATCGAGATTCACTGTCACGGGGTGCATTGGGGTAAGGGGTTAAGGATGTGGGCTTAGGAATCAGGGTTTGGGCAGTGTCATGGGGGGCTTAGGGTACACGATTGACAAATTGCCCAAAGTAAATGCTACGTGTAGGCTTTAGGGGCCAAAATGATCTTTATTCATAGATTCATAGACTTGGTTCGGCAGGGGTATAGTCTTCCCTTATGCAGAACGAATGTGTAGAATAAAGATTTGTTGTGAAAATATTGCGGTACCACGCTTGGGTTAGCGCAGCGAACTTGGCTTAGCGCAGGATTATGCAAAGATAAGGTTGAAGAATGTGTCCAACATCCAGTGATACTGAAACCCTACCCCCCTAGGTTCCCCCCTTACTTAACCTTAATTCAGCTTAACTATCCCTAAGTAACCTTAATTAAGGGGGGAACATAGGGGGGGTAGTATAGAGGGGGGTACTACTTGAACCCATGATACTGAAACCCTACCCCTAAACCCTAAACCCTAAACTCTAAACCCTAAACCCTAAACCCTAAACTACCCTTCAACTACAACACCCTACATGGAGGCTTCGGCTTTCTTAGTAATCTTTGGTTCCCCTACTGCTCCATAGGGCCGTTAAGTAGCCAAACTACATGGGTCTAGGGCTTTAAGGGTTTAGGGCATCACACCAAACCGCGCAAACCCCTCAACCCCGAGCCCCTTCACCCCTAAAACACCACCTGGATGTTTGTAAGTGCTGTTATTCCGACACTTTCCGCCCAAGACCACTTAACCATAAACTCCACCAACACTGAATCCGAGCAGTTTTCAGGCCTCACTCAGCCTAACCAGGTGGCAACTGGGCCAGTTTTTATTGTTCACAGGCTCATAGCTGCTGTATGAGGGAGCCTATTCATCCTACTTGTTATTCGTGGGGAATACCGGAACACAATCCCTATATACCCCCCAAGCCGCAAATACTTACCATATCGGCCTTTAACGTACCTACAACCAACCTTCGTTTTTTTCCAAAACCTGCTTGGAGATTCATGGGTACTTCAAGCCTACTTATATAGTCCCAGGGGAGTAGATAGAATATGAGGTATATGGGGTTCTTATCATATTATATCCAAAGCCATATTCTATCTACTTAAGGGGGACTATCAGTTATAGCAGTGGTGATGACCGAGTTATAGCCACTTACAGTAGGGTTTAGGGTTAAGGGTTAAGGGAGCAAGTATAGCCATGTTCGAGGCACCTAACACTAGACCCTAATACCTGTCGACCCGAAACCCTTGCATGCTTCTTGAAGCGCCAAAAAATATGAGGGTTTGAGGTATCAAAAACCATTCAGATTCCCGTGTTTGGGGCCTAGATCCGTGTAGACTCCCCAGTGTTTTGGTACTTGCACCGTTAAGCCCTAAACAGCCCCTAAACCCGAAACCCCTAAGCCCTAAGCCCTCAACTCCTAAACCCTAAGCCTCAACCCTAAGTTAGCAAACCTCATCCCAGGTCCGGAAGCCTGCTGCGGAAATGGACTCCAGCTTGTCCTACGCACCGCGTTTGGCATCTCCGCCCCTCCATGGAGGTCCCCTCATACCTTAACCCCCTAAACACTAGACGTTTAGGGTTCAGGGTTTAGGGGTCCCCTTATCCCTAAACCCAAAACATTACGTACATCCTACACCTGAAACCCTGGAGGTCATTATGGGCCATTGGTTTCAAAGTTTAGGGCCTGGGGGTGAGGGTAGTTTAGAGGTTAGGGCTTGGGGGTAGCTAGGGTGCAGGCTTTGTGGCATTTAGGGTTTAAGCTTTGGAGTTCTAGGCTTTCAGGCTTGTAGTTTCCAGTTTTAGGGTTCAGGGTTTACAGTAGGGTTAATAGTTATGTATGGAGGGGCGCGGGGGTTATGTATGGAGGGGCGCGGGGGGGCTTGTACAGGAAGTATGAGATATCCTAGCACGGCTTCCTGCATTTGGGTTCCAGTATCCTACGTGTCTCTCTTTCCATTAAGCAAGAATTATAGGGCTCTATGGAATTGTCTTGTTTCAGTTTTTGGTGCAGGAGGTGTTTAGGCGCCGGATCAAAGGCAATCGCCGAAGGCGGGTTGATTGCCCCTCTTCAGTTAGTTAGCAAGGCATTTCTGTTGGAATAGGAGGCCCGAATACGGACCGTCATACTACTTGACTGTCCTGTGCAGGAGACCAAATTCTTTGAAACAACCATCTGCTTGTTGGGGTGCATTGTGCTCCCATTCAAGAGATGTAACTAGCACAAAGCCTTGTGGTGGGGTGCTCGGTGCCACAGTGCATATACGTATTCTGCATGCACCTCTGCACCAATTGTCTAAAAAAAGACCTTCACTTGTTCGTTCTGACATGTTTAGTGGTTCTTTCCGGTACAGGACTGGAAGCAGCAGTGTGGGTGACTACATCAGACCTCATTGTTACCAGCTTCATAGCCTTTGAGTTCCTCGTCTAGCCGTGCTTCCACTCCTGAACCCTAAGCCCCAAACCCAAAACATGGTAATCTGTGCTCTCACGTCATGTTCTCCATGCGGCTTTCATGGAGGAAACACGAACCTCAACTAGACTCTCGTACCCCAAATCCCTATGGGGGTTTCCCAAAATTAGGGCTACCTTTTTGGGGGCCCCCATCATAAAGAATATAGTATATTGGGGTCCCCTTATTTGGGGAAACTACCGTATACCTAAATTAAACATTCTGCACATCCTCCTCTCTGAGCCCTCAAACCTAGACACGCGGAACCCTCAAAACTCGTCTGGTGGTTCGTAGGGAAGAAGGGAACATTATCCCTGTATACTTAATCCTTTATTCCCTACTAACCCTGAGCCCTACACCCTACATAGTCCCAAGTAGTACGTTCCATTGCCTCAATCCCTACTAGCCCCAGTAAGTTTAAACATGTGACAGGCCGTCCATCTTTTCCAGATCTCGGCCCGCAATGTTGGGGTTCAGCTTTTAGGGCTTGAGTTTAAAGAATTACGAGAGCTTCGCTTGCTGGGGGTTAGTAGTGAATAAGGAAATACATTCTATAGGAATTACATTCCCTTATTCCCTACTAACCACCAGCAAGTCTAGTAGAAGGTGGGGCAACGTAGAAGCCACGTGGTTTAGAGTTTAGGGTTTAGATGGCACGGTTGATGTTCTCACATATGGATGTTAGGGTCTGTTTGGGGCTTGCCAAGAGTCAGTGTTGAATTTATCTGTCTGCCTGTAAGCTGCGGAAAGAATCTTGCCACTAGTTGGAGCCTGAACACTGATAGACGGCCTGTGATATATCACTAGTTATTTGTCACTGCTTGTGGGTGGCTAGTTGGAAATGAAGGAAATGACCCCAAGATTCTATGAGCGTAAGCCTCTAAACTCTAAACCAATCTTTTGTCACTGCCTTCGTGGACTTAGTAAGTATGTTGTCATTTCTGTTGTAACTCCCCTAGTTGGGGTCAGTATGCTTATAGCCCTATTTGCACCTATGTTCATCTATTTTCTACGTTCCCGGACCCTCTCAGAAGTAGCCCCTAAACCCTAAACCTTAAACCACAATACCACAAGTAAGAACGAGAAATTGGGTTTCCTGCTATGAATTGTCATGAAGCCTACTTGGAGGGTCGAGGGGGGAAAGTAAATAGGTTCAGGGTTTAGGGTCAGGGGGACATTGTAAATATCTTGATAATCGGGAAAACTCAGGTCATTGCATGGGTTATAGGGGTTCAACGCCTACTTAAAAAGCCCCCCGGACCCTCCAAGTAAGCCTTGAATATCCTACGCGTAAATCTCGACTAGCACGGTGGATAGTAAAGATCCTTCATGATCCTAAGTACCGTATACCTTGGTAAACTTGGTACTTTAAAAGTATAACTATCCGGGTCATAAAGATCTGTAGTACCAACAGTATGTTGGTTTTGCATTTGTTGCTCTAGTATGGTGCAGGGCTTCTCCACATGCACCTCCAAACAAAGCTGGACATTCAGGCTCCTAACAGTATGGCCGTTGTTCCGAAGGTTGCGCCCCATGGTTGAAGTTCAGGGTTCAGACCTGTTTTTGAACATGTGAGCTATAGTCTAAACTCCTTAAAGGGGGGTTATATAAGGGGATTATATAGGGGACTACTATAGGGTTATTAAGGGGGATACTAGGAGTTTAGACACTGGCTCATGTGAAATCTTGTGCAGGACAGTCATGACTAAGATACGTGCCAGATACAAGCTTTTAAGACCTAAAGCCTGAACATGCGGGCAATTGGAACGTGAAGGTTCGTTCATGTTCCCTTGCGACTCAAGTCGGGGCCAGGAGGGGCAGAGCAATCATGTGAAGTTTCCTCAATCAAAAGCCTAATTAGTTCCAGGTTTCCAATACTTACATTTTGGCAATTTCAATAGCAAATAGAATCCGTGTTGCTGGTTCTAGTACAGACGTTGGGTAAGTATCCAGTTCTTGATATACTTGGAATCCGAAGCCCTGAGCCCCAAATCGCCACACCGCAACCAGCTTTTTGTTGTTGCTACCTAAACCCTAAACCCCAAACCTAAACCATTCCATTTCTTTCCATCATCCTAAGCCCATTCACGGTCCATTTCAGTTTCCATTTTTTGTTCCATGTGATTCTCCATCATTGGGGTAATGTCCTTATATAATCCTTGTAGAACTCGTACATAGTCCTACATAACCTCTACCTAATGATATTGCATAGTCCCTACCTATCCTTTCATAACCCCTGCCAATCCCTTACTATCCCTATCTTACCCCTTCATATCTCCATGTCTCGACATAGCCCTTTGTAACCCTAAATTTAGGGCTTAAGGGTTTAGGGTTTTATTAAACACCCGGCCACTAGTTAAGGACGAACACGATGCAGCCCTGGCCTGTGCTGCCAACAGACCGAAGTATAGAGTCTCAGCGGCATCATAATGAGTTACTTGGGATTTATAGGGTTTAGGAGTTAGGGTTGAGCGTTGATGGTTTTGGGCTTTGGGTTTAGGGTTTTGGATTAAGGTTTAAGGTTTTAGGCTTGGGGTTTTAGGGATTGGGCTTATAAGGCTTAGGGATGCTTAGGGTTTACGGTTCGCGGTTGAGGATTTAGGTTGACACCTTCCAGTTGGAGGTTCAGGGTTGAGGGCTTAGAGTTCTGAGTTAGTTGGTGGTGCATCTGAGCCATAGTCTAAACTCCTAGTAGACCCCCCTTAATAGCCCGTATATTAGTCCCCTATATCATCCCCCATATAACCCCGTTTAAGGAGGTTAGACTGGGGCTCATCTAGGGCGCAGGGTGCAGGTTTAGCCTTGACAGAAGCCCACGCTTGGAACTGCTTGGACAAGATGGGATCCTGAATGAGGATCCCTACATTTTGCCCTAGAATTTAGGGTTTAGGGTTTAGCGTAGGTACTATGTATGGGTCCCAACGCCCAGAATGAGCATTATTGCAGACTTGGATCGCTTGAGTCCAAGGGCCACTGCAATCTGCATACGCTCGTGGCTGACCCAGAACCTTCTTTCAAAAAGCCATAGGTGAATATCGGACACCCAATCCAAACAGCCACCAAAGCTCCCGAGGAACCCCATATGCATTGAGCTGCAGTTCAGTAAGGCCCTACTTCACAAATCTTGATAGAATACTTCCTCCCCCCCCCCCCGTCTTCCAAGCCTTCTCAGCCTGCATATCTAGAAGCCTTCTTCAGACTGCCAAGTAAGTAGAGATGATGTTGAAATCCTACATGAGCCTAGTATACTAGAATACCAGGATTTCCCAGGAACGAGGTACTTATGGTCATGCAGGATGATATCAACCGCATGGAGGGGTGGGCATGTAGCCCTTCTGCGGGGCATGAGGCCTGCAATAAGCGTAGCAACATGATCTCTTGTTGCGCTCCTATTTTCGTGCGAACAAGTAGGCCGGCAAACTTCAGGACGCAACAATGTCACCCCGAGAACCCCAGACCCTAAACCCTAAGTCCTAAACCCTAAACCCTAGCCCCTATACCCTAAATCCTAAACCCTAACCCCACCTGAGTCTTAGTATTCTAAGGTTTGGGAAGTATGGGCCCCTAATATGGGCTCTGAGCCCTTTTAGGAGGATTCTAGGTGCCCTAAAAGGGTTTAGGGTTTAGTGCCCCTTAATTGGATAGAATATGGGGTATACGGGGATCTTGTTATAATATGCCCAAAGCCATATTCTATCTACTTAAGGGGGGCTATACCTCCGGGGTATGTAGTAGGTATGGATAAGGATCCCAGGGTTAAGAGCCCATACTAGGGGTTTAGGGTTTTCAACCTTGGAGTTATACAGCTGCATAGTAGTTGAGGGTATTTTCACAACAAGCCCGAAATCTAAATCCTAAACCCTAAACCCTAAATCCTAGACCCTAAACCCTAAACCCTAAACCCTGAACCTGAAATCTGTTTATATCTGGCCCTGAGCCTGAGTCGCCAAGCCCTAAAGCCCTAAACTTGGGTTTAGGGTTTAAACATGTTTCAACCGGTGAGCTGTGAAATCCCCGCCTTTCCTTAGAAGAACTGCCTACCTTGCGCAGAAAGAGGGCAGGAATTACTATGGTTTAGGGTTTAGGGGGTGTTCTCGAGGATGGAATTGCCACTGATTTCCCAATTTCCTCCTACGCACCATGTATTAGCTAGTAGTAGGCTGCGGGGCAGTACGTAATTCAATGTAATTTAAGGGTTTAGGGTTAATTTTTTTCAGGAACAAGCGAACGGCAACCAATTTTGTACGCACCTTGGCCCTAAACCCCTTGGGGCCCCTAAACCCTAAGCCTGAAACCATGATCTGCTTCTGGGATACCACCCTAAACCCCAAACCCTAAACCCATTCTAACCTGCGTAGTTGAAAAGCTCCTCCAAGGTGGACCTAAACTGCAAACGGTGGCAAGGTGGGCCTCCGGTGTCTAGGTTTTGGAGTTTCGAGTTCAGGTTTATCGTTTTAGAGTTTTAGGGCAAAAGCCTTAGGGTTCGGAGGTGTAGGGTTTAGCGGTTTACGGTTGAAGATTTGAGGGTTTAGAAGCTTTCGGGCTCAGAGTGCATTGTGTGAGGTTAAGAGGTTTTAGGGGCACCGTATCACCTGCATGGGAACTTCTCTGATTGATGTCTGTCTAGCCCTTCAAAGACCGCCATAATCCTAACTAGTCTCATATGTACTTCTACGATCCCGAAGGGCGCGCGCTACTTCGAAAGACCTCCACACGCTTTGGACATTGCCCTAAGGATCCAAGCATATAAGTAAATAGTACCTACATTGGGCCCTAAAGTCTTAAACATAGCCTACATTGGGCTATTTGGATCCCTATACATCCCTACAAACCCCCTGCTTTCCATGTTATTTTCCAGTTGCTTTTCCATTTGGTTCTCCATTATTATGGCAATACCTTCGGCTATTTGGATCCGTAGGGTTGCCATTTCAGGCAGGCAGGCTTCAAGGAGTTGCCCTGCACGCGCCAGGTCCTCGTCTGAATTCGAGGCTGTCACGCAACTTGGGCGCTCAAGACTTTTGAGTCGTTATTAACATTCACTGGGAAAGCTCACTGCTCGTAATCCGCGATTTCAGTTGGATACTGCGGCCACTGAGTAACAGCTGGAAAATATTCATGATAAAAACATATATATATATATATATATCGCCCCTAATATTACCTCATATCATGGATTGTTACTGCTTCGGGTTGGGGGCAGTACTGTAGCTAAGATTTCAGGGTCGTAACCTGACCCTGGGGGCTGTAATTTCGGGTTTAGGGGATCCCGTGGGCAGCTGATGGGGAAAGTTCAAATTTGAGGGTTTGGGGTTTAGGTAGTTCAGGGTGTACGAGGGTGTAAGGAGAAAAATGATTACTGTTTTGGATTAGGCGGGGCTTCTGAAGGCTCCTGATCCGTTTTTGGGGCTCCCTGCAGCGAAGGGTCCTAATATGTTGCGGAATGCACAGGGGATCCCAAAATTCACGCGATCTCTTATGACGAGAGAGGGGACCAGAAGTGAGTTGCATGACCATGTTACAAAACAGGCATGGAGTGGTACCTGCCATATTTGGGTGGATGGGGGGGGGGGGTGTGTTGCTATTACCGAAGCTATTATTGTTTGGTATTGTTCCTTTCGACTACTTGTTGCTATTACCATCGTTCCGGTATGTGCAATGACACTGGCACAGATTTCGGTTCCTGAATGAGCATGACAATCATTTCGCACAAAACAAGTCCGTGCTTTTAAACCACAATGCCGCGCCCCAAATTCATGGGGATCTTCATCTTTTCGCGCAGAACGCGCGCGTTCTCTTCAAGCGCCATGCCGCATCCAACTGCTGGAGTTTTCGTGACCTGACGCAGGGTCTGTTCAAATTCTTGAGCCGCAGCATGTTGAGTGCCTGCAGCTTCTTGGTCTTGTGCTCCGTTTCCATCATCCAGTTGATTTTGTGTGTCTCCCACCCAGTGTTCCGGAGGGCCTTCCCAGGGGCCCAGCTCGTCTCTGTCTTCGCGAAATTGGAGCCCAAGGATGTTCTCTTCGGAATCAAGGATTTTTTCCATGCTTTGTGTTGTCCTGCAGTCTTCTGCTGTTGTGCTGTCTCGGGACAAGAAGAAGCGGTGCAAACTGGCTGCACTCCAATGCCAGCCCTGCTTTGAGGCCTCGTAATTAAGTGATTGTGTTGGTGTTTCTGCCTGTCCCGGTCTTCAACGCAGACGTCACAGACAATGTTGGCAAGGGTGCTTTGCAATCGCATGCCACATGCATGTGCAGGTGCGTGGCATCTGCAAAGGCCGTTCCTTTCTCGCTTTCTGGTCATGTCCAATTGCTCCTCTTCAGGAGACCTGGGCCTTGTCAAAAAGCCCGTATCTCAAATTGCGCAGTCGCTTTTCACTGCGTGTGTTTCTGCTTCAGGCGAGAAGAGCCGAATGAGGATGGCGACGCTGTCCACAAAAAGCATCGTGCAAAATGCAGCCGTTGTGCTGTTCGCATGTCTTGTTGGTTTTCCTGGCTTTGTGCGATGTTTTTGTGCAGGACGCGAAACGCTGCTGCTGCTGCTGCTGCTGCTGCAGAGCCGCCACCCCCTGCAGTCGGGCTCTGGGATTTGTTGTGTTTTTTTCTCGCTTGCCTGGCGCGGCAGCTTTTAGAATCCTCAAATATCCTTATATCGGAACTCCAAACCCAAAACCCTAAGCTATAGTCCCTGCGTTGACACCCTTATTGTGCCAAGCGGTGGAGATAAGGTAGCGGTGTGCAGTCGGTCCACAGGATCGTCTGTGTTGAATTGCACAGTTCAGGGTTCGGGACTCACCCTGGAACTATACTTCTATAAATGGTACGCAAATTGGGCCCTCATGTCTATAGATGTTACTTACATTGGGCTCTTTGAAGCGCTAGGGTAAGACTTTGGATTAACAGTCGCGAAGATTTCGAAGGACCCCTTTTAGTCGGTGGTTTGCACGAAATGGGACCATTCTCTCGGTACGTGCGGGAATATAAAGCAATCTATATCCCTAAGGGTCCAAGTACCCAATAATCATATACTTACCCCAAACCTGTCCTATAATTACTATTACCCAAAACCCAAGTACCTAATTATTGGATACGTGAACCCTCTGGGTATTGGGGGGTTCTCCTTGAGGCTTGATGGAGATGACGTTGAAAGGTTCCCATATGTACACGGACCCTACACCCTAGACCCCGAAATATACAGACTCCCAGAATCATTAATCAAAAAGCTAAGAGCATCTTGAGCATGGAGTGAGCCCAGGAAGTACTTCAAAAGTACCCTTGGCGCGAACAGCCCCCTTGGAGCATGGCTTCAGTTTTCAGATTTGTGGTTCAGGGGCTTTGGGGGGGCTTAAGGGTTTCGGGGGCTTGGCATCTATGAGTGCTGCGTTTATACGTTTGCAGTTTAAGTTTAAGCTGTGTGCAAGGGATGTCAAGTGAGAGCTTTTCAGGCTTTACCGCCCCAGGTGCTCGTGTGAAGTTGCTACATGGTATATACCTGGGCCCCGAAGTAGGTACATGGGAGCCCAGTTGGGCCTGAAGTATATATTATATACCTACCAAGTGTAGTCCTTAGCTGTTTAGGGTTTGGGCTCCAGGAGGGTTTGTTAAAGGTTTCAGGGTCTGGAGTTGGTGTGATGCGGATATACATACACACACACATAAACAAATATATATATATATACAGATATCACATTTCCCAAAATCAGGGGTACCTTTTGTGGGGGACCAGAGTACATTGGGGTCTATATTGAGGTCCCGCTATTTAGGGCATCTACCATGTAGACAGTGTTAGGCTGATCAATGAGCTGAACTCCTGCCAGGTTTCGAGAAGGCCCCGTAACCTGAATGCAGGAACGCAAGCACTTACTTACAAACCCCTAAACCCTGAATCCTAAACCTACCTAGATCCTAATCCTACCTAGACGCTCCAATGTAGTACTTTTTTGGCAGTCCTAATTAATAAGAATCCTAACCAAAAATCAATAAAACAATACCAAGAAAGGAGCTACATTGGAGGGTCCAGATAAACTCTAAAGCCACTAAAACCCCTAAAGGCCCTTGGGGCACTGTCAAGGGCATTCTCGCTCATTAGTAGCCCCGAGTCCCGCTCATTTGTACGTGCAAGGTTCCAGGATGATTTACAGTAACCCCAAAGGGTCCATATGAGCAGCGTTTCGTTTTCACGGTAGATCAATTATAAGAGCGCAACACAGAAACTCATCAAACCTTGGTCCGAAAACGAGGTTTTCCTGTGTGCGCGGAAGGACGCGGAAGCTCTGCGGAAGCATTGCCTTCGCGGAAGAAATTCAGCTGAAAAACCTTCGCAGAAGCAGCCGCGGAAGGCGGAAGCAAAAAAGACTACAACCGCTACTCGCGGAAGGATGGCAGAAGGGCTTTGCGGAAGGGGTAGCTTCTGTAGTGAAACTATATAGGAATGAAAACCACGGCTCATATGAGCCATAGTCTAATCTCCTTAAAGGGGGTTATGTAGGGGACTATATATGGAACTATTATAGGGGTTACTAAGAGGGATACTAGGAGTTTAGACTGTAGCACTTTTTGGTACGTAGTGTGGGGTTTGGGGTCACGGCCCCTGAAAGCTGTTTTCATAGACTTACTTTAAGACCCAAGTTTATATATACATATATATATATACATATGTATGTGTATGTATATATATATACATATACTGGGTGGCGCTACCACACACGGTCTAGGGTTCAAGGTACCGCGGGCCCGATGACGGTACAGACACCACGAGGAATGTACTACGTTCTCAGGCAAGCAGTTCGCAGAGACTGGCAGCAGAAGTGCATGTGGCATGTCTAGACGTGGATTTGAAGTGAGATACGCAACCTTTAGTTGGGTTCGCCGCGTTTCACACCGATTTTTCAGGATCAAAACACCCCGAATCTTTCGTAACATTCCCTCAGCCTCAAACCCAAAACCCTAGTCAAGCCCCAACACGAGGTTGCGAAGTGGAGCAGCTGGAAAGGATTGACAACAACAAGGCGGAGCTTAAGACTTAGGGTCAAGGGTGTATGGGGTTTAGGTCGTGGGTTTTGCACTTAAAGTTTGAGGTTTACGGTTTGTCTTCAGGGGTTTCAGGATTAAGAGTTGAGGGTTTTCAAAGTCCGGCAGGTTTGCAAGTGTGTATTTGCTGTGTTTAAGGCTCCATGTCTTAACCTCGAAGCCTAGGCCTTTCAGTTTTGGATGTATAAAAATCACAGCCTAGGTGTAACCCTTACCTCGAAGCCTTGAACTGTGACCAGAATCCTACAGCTCTGGGAGCTGGCAAGGAACAGGGTTCAGGGTTTAGGATTTAAGGTTTAGGATTTAGGGTTTAGGGTTCAGGGTTCAGGATTTGGGGTTTAGGATTTCGACAATCACAGAGTCCCATGCAAGCCCCATGTGGAAGCACTGTCGCCCCTATGTGGAGGCTTTCGTGATGCACCTACCCTTCTCCTGATGCACGCCTTGTTAAAAACCCTAAACCCTTACGTAGACCCCTAACCAAAACCTTGAACGCGGGGCTCCACAAGAAGCTACTTCAGAGGCAGCCTGAGGAAGAAACCCCAACCCCTATAATTCGTTGAGCATTTTAAATGTTCCCTATTTGGGAGCAATTGTTGTTCATTGGGGTGAGGGCATTAATGTTAGGGGGTGAGGATTACTCGAGAGGTCCTTCACTAGAATTGCCTCCCATTACTTCAGACCTGGAAAGAGTCAAAGTGTTCGGCAAGGCTGCGAAGGCCTCAACTGCTTGCCGAAGAAGCAAACCCAGACCCCCCTAAAGGATCCCAACAAATGGAACCCCCTAATAATCCCCTAGTTTCCCCAATGTAGTAATGGGTTCATATTGGGGGGGTTCCATTTTTTGGATCCTTTAGGGGGTCTGGGAAATTGTCTAAACATTCCAGATTGCGGTCATGATGCACACTGCATGCAACACAATATGTTTCAGCCGTGCCGGATTGAGTCGCCTCTGGATGGGTCGAAGAAGGCTCACATGCGTGATGATTATCTTGTAGCCACACAAGCACGGCTGCGTGCCTCTTCATGTGAGCTATAGTCTAAACTCCTTAAAGGGGGATATATAGGGGATTATATAGGGGACTATTATAGGGCTTATTAAGGGGGATACTAGGAGTTTAGGCAATGGCTCATGTGTCTGTTACTCTGGGATTGCGGAGCTCCGTCCTGATGCAAGAGTAGCTCAGACAAGGTTAGCATAAGGACCTGAGACGTGTTTAGGTTTCAGGCGTATATATGATCCGAGCGCGGCGGCCCCCTAATGGGTCCCCCCTCCATCCTAGGGTATGGCTGTTGGTCTTCGGTTTGCAAATACCGGGAAAGTTGAGGGTTCCCCCCTCCCCCCTGTGGTGTGCTAACACACTATTATTTGAGTCCTTGGACCCTTAGGGAGTGGCATGGAAACCGGAGTGTAAAAGCCTTAGCGCTCCTTTTTTACTACAAGTTTCAAGTGGTAGGATGGGGTTTAGGGTTTAGGGTATGCCTCACTAAGCACGAGTCAGTATGTAGCGCCCAGGGATTAGGGGTTTTGGGCTGCTGGAATGCTCGGGTTTCCTGACTTCAGGATGTGGGGTTTACTCTGAGCGTCGTAGTACCCAGTAACCAATAATCGGGTGCTTGGTTGGGGTTGGGAGCATTCCTCGTTGTATAGTGGTGATGGTCTAGAAACTATGTTGGAATTAACCTGTTACCCCCACCCCTCCTGGTGATCCCGTGGCCTGTGGTCCGGCGCTTGTGGTAAAATTAGGGTTTACGGACAGCCGAGAGTGTTTGTAGAGGGTTTACAGCCTGTTCCCCGCCCCCCGCCCCCCCTGTGGTCCTGTGGCCTGTGGTCTGGGTCCTGTGGCGTTGATGGATGGTTTGTGAGGTGTTTAATAGTTTATGGAGGGCTTCTGACAATGAATAGAAGATTTTAAGAATGCTTACAGAGAGTTATGGGTTTACATAAAGTTTGTACAAGATGAGGAACAGGCCGATCCCTTGAAGTACCTGTGACATGCGACAACCATATGAGGCTTTACGTAAAGGCGATGACAATTGCGAGGACCGCGATGAGGACCATCCCTGTGACTGTTGGCACTTTTGACGCGACGAAAGCATGAGGGGCTGAAAGTGACGACAGCTACGAGGCATCAAAAACGACAATGGACTAATAATTCTGTAAATGGTGTGCAACAAGCCGGAAGGGTCCAAATGTTGAATAGTCACGTACTCCTGCCAACATATTGTACGACGATATTATAGCTTTCTGCTACCAGAATCCCAAGTATCCAAAGCTTGAGCGCAGGGCCCCTTTGAGAAGTTTTATCCTGGGTTGGGTGCACTTGGCATCTGCAGGTCCAGTGCAGATTATTCCGAGGAAGCAGCGAGCACACGCTGATGTTCCACGGATGCAGGCGGGAATTCGGGGTTTGGCGTAGGACATACTTATTACAATTACTGGGGGTTTCTGCGCCTCTTCTTGCTTTTGATTTTTGAAACCTGGGAAAGTAAGGGTCCAGACTCAAGGTACTTGTACTTGAACTATCCGAGTTCAAGTCACAGTCAGAACATGCAGAGTTGACACATCGGTGTTGTTGCCTGATTAACAAGACTTCCGAGATGGAGGGTGCTGCAGGCATGTCTGGCTGCTCGTTTGATGCTATCTCTGATTCATTGCTGCAAATCGGGGCGCGGCGGCTTCGGAACTTTAGCCAACCCGCAAAAAACGAGTCCCTGAACCCTGAACACGAGCAAATTCCTAAAGCCTGAAGTCTATGAAGTCTAGTCTTCAAGACCTAGTCCCTAAAGTCGCGTCTTCAGCGAGGACGCCTGCCAATGAGACCAAAATTCTCCAGGAGACGTGCGAAGCCGTTGTAGATGGCATAGGTGTGCGTGAATAGAGAGTCAGGAGTCAGGGCGTCTTACTAATTATGAGAAATCCAAGGGAAACTACTACATGATTTTGGGTGTCAGTGTCATGGGGAACTTGTTGACGTGGTGAATGATGGTGATACTTGGGTAAACCTACATGGCTTGTGCATCCTTGTACAAGTCCTGCCCAGACCCCTTCCTTCGAAGACTCCTCAACCAAGTCCTCCATCCACAGCAATTAGAGAATTACAGTTTGATTCCTCTGGATTCATTCTTCCGCTAGCCAGGCCAGGGAAAATGCACTTTATTGTAAGCATATAATCTTACTTGGTTCAACCACGCAGAAAATACTGTTCAATTGCTGACAACTTAGCGGATTTTGCAGTCTTTGCGTTTTGTGTCCATGACTTGGAGAGGCAGCATGAACTTGCTACAGAAGTCTGAGCAGGAAGGGATATCCCTGAGGCTCCAGGTTTGGGCACAGGGTTGAAGCTCTCCAAACGTCGCGATTCGCAGTTCAGACCCACCACATGAGACCCAGCATATGGATTGTTAGCGCCTTCCTCAGCGGCAGCAATCAGGTGACTTTCTGGCTGTGTTCACCGAATCACCTGTAGGGTTAAGGTTTAGCTAATCAATGAGTTAGCTCCTCAAAAAAAAAGAATGCGTCCTAGGAACCCTACAGTTCTTCTTCTCCCTCTAGTCAAGGATTTCTTGGCAGAGGTTCTTCTTCATGGGTCTGGTTTCAATGCCTTTGGAAAGTGGACAATCACTCCCGAACGAGCACGAAACGCCACAGATTCCTTTATTTTAGAGGACAATATAGGCAGGCTTCTGGGGCCCCTTTTCAGGTTCCATGTTAGTTTATGAGTGATCACGAGCACCTCTGAACGCACAAGACCCGCCCCTGAACACGCAAGGCCCTGTTCCAACAGATTAATCGCCCTCCTAATCGGTTCTTGGGCTATTTCTAGTACTTATAGGCCCAGGGGACTTAGAAAATAGATGTGCAAGGGATTGTAAGCAGACTAAAGCCAACTAGAGGACGTACAACCCCATTTATAAGCTATTTACAAAGTCCCCTTTGCCTTCATACAGTCTGGCAAACAACAAATGCAGCGCAGTCTTGCCGCATCTCTAGCCCGAAAGGTGCACCGCAAATGTCCAATGTTCCAAAATGTCTCTGCATGCTCTTGTGCCCCTTAAGTAGATAGAATATGGGTTTGGGTATATTATAATAAGGTCCCCATATACTCCATATCCTACCTACTTAATTAAGGAGGACTTTAAACTAGCATCACTAGAACTACTGCAAAATATGGGCCCCTGAGGGCATACCTGAATTACCTGAACCCTACATCGTTAAACCTCCACTCCAAGCCTTCAGCCCTTACGCTAAACTCTAGGGATTAGGGTTTAGGGATGAGCCCTCTATTCTAAACCCTAAACCTCTAAGCCCTAAACCCCTAAACCCTAAACCTTAAGTCGTTACCCTACGCCGATGTACTTCGAAGGATGGCTTCCAGGTGCAGTCATGCCAAAGTGGTGGTATGAACTATGGCACCTGGCTCCTTGAGCATACATCCAGCGGTGTTTTTGTTGGCCTAAACCTCCCAAATATCAATAAGAAAAAACATGTTCCCCTAAATGATTTGTATAAACGCTAACATTTTGGGTACTTGGGAGGTCCAGGTTGTTTGAGGTCTATGTGCCTTTGGATAACACAAAAGCTTTGTTTCGATTTCGTTGAGCACGGCTGCCCAGATATGTAAGGCTGCGTGGCGCCACCACTTTTTCTTGGGCTGCTGTTGAGGATCGTAAAGTAAGCTAGCAGTATATGGATGTATAATGAATATTTGGTTCTCGTACTTATAAGGGTAGCATATTTTGTTTCTCTGATTCGGCATCTTTTTGAAACTTATCGCCTCTTTTGGGCTTCCATGGCCCGATGCACTCCTGTGCATCAGGACCACCAAGTTGAAACGTGGGCCTGAGGATTGCTTGTTTAGAATTTACTGGGTCGTTGTTAAGGAACATAAATGAAGTTGAAATAAAGAAGCCCTGTTATGTACCATATCCCCGTATATCTCAAGGCTCCTTAACAGCAACCAGTTTAAGGCATGCTGTTTTTCATGTCGTCCTGTGCAAATATTTGGACTGCCACTGCAAGGGCCACTAGATTGGACAGTGATTACAAGACAAGTTAACTTGGAGATATTCAAAGTTTGGGGGCGAGGGAGCGTCTTGGGCTTCCTAGGACAAGGGCCATAAATGCCATACATTTCGGATATATAGAAGGGAGTGCCTAATTTGGGGCAAGTCCCATTTCATCGAGGATTTAGTGAGAGAGCACATATGCATCGATTTCAGCAGCTGGCTGCAGATTCTGATCCGTTTTACTTTTTGTTGTGCGTATACTTCACTACTAGCATGTACAAGTTTGTTGAAGGACAGTACAAAATGTATTTTGGCGGTCTATGGGGGGAGCAAGGGCTGAAATCCTGATGTCCAAGAATGCCTTGCCCACTACCTGCACATTTAAGCTACTATTATACTACGACTTCCGACCCTGGCTTGCCCCTTTCCCTAGGGTCCAAGTACTCAAACATTGGACCTTTAGGTGCCATCAACCTTTCTGAGTAAAGCATTTGGGGTCTGAAGCCCCATAAGCGGTTTAGGGCTTAGGGTTCAGGGTTTAGGGTGGCCTCATATACTTATGTCTTAGGGTTGGTTTGGGCAAGCTCCCAGAAAGGTTTGCCTACAACGCGAAGTACAGCAACCTGGGCTATGCCTTCACAGACCGCGAGGGGCCGCTAGTACCAGAAATTCAAATTAGAAAACAAATGTCGACAAGGGGTTCGTGTTTTTCGTTTAGGTTTTGGTGTTCAGGCTTAGGTACCCGGGTTTAGTTGATTTTTGGGATCAGGGTTTAATGCGTTGAACAATGGAGAACCGAATGGATAACGAAATGGAAGCGTTGACTGTAGCAGGGCTTATAGGGTGTTTGATTGAGCCTTCTTCCTTTTTAACCTTTGTATACCTGTAGCAAAACGTGCTCCAAATCCCTGTTCTATTTAAAGTCCCTGCGGTAGGGTCTTAGGGTTTCAGAATTTAAAGAAATTCGGGCAGTTTAGGATTTTGGGTGCCAGGTGTAGGGTTTAAGGAGTAGGGTTTGACGTTTAAGGTTTATAGGGTTCAAGGCACGAGAAGGTACCTGAAGGAGGTGTTCTTGGTTTGTTTCTTGCGCGCTGTTCGCTGTTTTCTTCCAGCCGTCTACGGGTGGGTACTTATTGAAAGGTGGGTCTCCACAATACTCCCAGAAGGACCAGAAGATCTCCAGAACTTCTAGAACTTTTACGGAAGGCCTGGATGAGGCTACCCACCTGTATCTACCCACCTGTAGATGGCTTCTATTTTGGGGGATCCCAAGGCAGGGTTTAGGGCTCTTTGACGTCAAGCCCCAAACCCTACATCCGAAACGCTAAACCCGAAATCCCAAACCCTAAATCGTATAAGGCCTAAACCCTAAGCCCGAAACGTTAATGTTTTTTTCTGCATCGGATGTTGGTGCTTTGGACCTTGGTTTTTGAGTTGATGTGGAAAGGCGATGGCAGTTCTGGATTGCTTCCTCGACTGAACAGACTATTATGAGGCATAATCTCAAATCCTTAACGAGGGTCAAATACGGGATTATTTTGGCGCCAAGAGTAGGCTAATTATACTGACCTCCGCTGAGCTTCAACGCAAATGCTGAGGAATGCTGGACAGTTACGTTTAGGGTTTAGCGTTTGGGGCTTAGGGTGTAGAGGTTTAGGGTTAAGGCTGTAAACTTTAAAGGTCAAGATTTCTGAGTGCTGGGGATGTTGGGGGTCAGGAGGCATGAAGAAGTCAAGCTTGAAAGCAAGCTGGATGTGATCACTTGGGTAGCGCGAAGTGCGGGGACTACAGTATCCTTCATGCTAAAGAACATATGTTTCTTTTTGTTATTGCTGCAGAAAGAAAATCGTAGTGCTTGCTTCAACCGCTAATCACTTTGAAGGCCACATGCTTTCACGACCCGCTTAACCATATCGACTAGGTTACATTTGAACAGATCTTCAACAATTACATGTTGCGAGGAGCATGTAGCTCTCGAAATTCAAGAATTACACCCCAGCAAGAAACTGGAAATCAATCCTACCCTGCCATGTCAAGCCTACAACCCAAACCCCAAACCCTAATCTCATTTGAGTAGTATTCTATTTGGAGATACTCTTGTACCCAATATAGAGTAAGATTAAATCCTCCCTTCGGAGTATAGTATTTTATGTAAGGAATATATTCTTACTGGGTTTAACCACCAAAAAAACGCTACTCATGTCATGTCATTCTTCTCTGTAGTTGGTGACCAACTAAACCCTAAACCCTAAACCCCAGACCCTAAACCCATGATGCCGTCATCCTGGGGGTCAGGCCACTGTTGAAGACCCAGACCCTGGGGCTCTAAGTTTACACATAATTTAGGGTTTAGGGTTTAAGGTTTAGGGATACCTACATTGGGTCCCAAAGACTATAAATAGTACCTACATTGGGCTATTTGGAGCCTTAGGGACAAAGTCCGAGTACCCAAATCATGGAGCTTTAGGCCTCAAACCCTGACTCGAGTTTAAGGTTTAGGGTTCAGGGTTTCAGGGCTTAGGGTTTAGGGCTAAGGCTTCACGGTTTTTGGGGTCCCCAATATTTGGGTACTTGGACCCTTAGGCTAAGCCCCCTCTTCATTTCTTGCAAGGTTCAAGCATATGTTCATTTGTGTCGTGTCCTACTACTACACCGTAATGGACAACCTGGAGATGCGCGTGGTGGGTCAGGGCTGTGCATACCCTCAATGGCTCCTGGGCGTGCAGTGGATTTAGACCTTTAGGGTTCAGCTGAGGTTTAGGGCTTCAGAGTACAGGAATTACAAGAAGGCTCCAAAGATTGATCTTTATAGTGTATTCCGTGAGTTCTTCCCCTGATATATATATATATATATGTTCGCTTTATGCATGTATGGTTATTCCCAAAAGAATTCGGGTTGCAACCATGAGTTCTGACACTTGCTGGGCTCACTGCGATCCCACGTATCCCATGTATTACTAGTCTATCATAGACTCTTTTCAGGTTCCATATGTCTGGGAGTGTAGGGCGCAGCGTGCAGGATGCAAGAAGTCCGAGACCCTAAACACTAAACCCTATGCTTCCCTGCCAGGGCTACCCCTTAATTAGGGCTACTTCAAGGATGTTGCGGGATAAGTTAGGTTAAGGGGTAATGGGTTTAGGGTTTAGGGGAACCTAGGCAGGTAGGATAGGGGCGGGTGGTTCAGAGGAACCTTAAACAGCGGGAGAAAGCTTAGCCCTATACTCACTGGTTCTTTGTAGGGAATAAGGGGATATAATCCTTGTATATGATCCCCATATATATATATACATACCGTATTCTCTACTAACAACCAGTACGTATAACCCCTAAGCCTACCTTACACCTATGAAGCCAAGCTTCCGAAGGTGAGGGTCCTCTTGTTGTAATGCCTTGAGCCCTAAGCCCTAAGCACTACAAACCCTACACCCTGAGCCCTGCAATCACCAGTGCCCGGGGATCCTGGTAGGCCGTTCCAACGGAAGGGTTTCGGGGATCCAAATAGCCCAATGTAGGCAATATTGATAGACTTTAGGGCCCAATGTAGGCATTATTTGTGTACTTGGATCCTTAACCCTATTTTGAACAAATGGGGAGGCAATTCAGCTTAAGTGTTTGGGCGTTTCTGGGCATGTTTGCTTGAGAGTACCTAATGATCACCGCGCCGTTCCCGTAGAATCCCGCTTGAAACTATTCCTGCAGTGCGAAAGTCACAAAAACACAATAGATCTACAAACTATGTACACTTGACGCAGGCTAGAGGCTACAGTGAACATGCTGCCTTCTTCTGCTTGTTCTGCTTGCTGTGGAGCGACGAGAAAATGACATATTCAATTTGGCCCACGTGCAGAGCCCAAGGCACAAGACCGCATCTAGGTGTACTCCTCACATCCTTCATATGACTGAAAGAGCCCTTTTTGTGATGTAATTCGCAAGGTAGGTGCTGGCGTGGCGCAACACTGTGCAGGGTTTAGGTAAATTAGGTGCCCCAAATTCTAAAATCCTACAATCTGAGGCTTAAGCCCTGAACCCTGCCTCCCCGAAGTTCCCTAAACCCTCAACCTGAAACCCCAAACCCTAAACCCTAAACCCATCTGAGCTATAGTCTAAACTCCTGAAAGGGGGTTATATAGGGGATTATCTAGGGGAGTACTAAAGGGGTTAGTAAGGGAGATACTAGGAGTTTAGACATTTGCTCATCTGAGGCTGATCAAGTACAAGTCCGAACCGTATCCTTCGTATTCCGCTGCCTTCAGGAGGCTTGGCCTTGCTTTGGTATGCGTCTAAGTTTGAAGGTTTAGCGATTAGGGTTTGGGGCTTAGGGTTTAGGGTTTGGGGTTTAGAGCTTATCAGTGTTTAGGCTTAAAAACCTACACCAAAACCCTAAACTCGAATCCCGACACGGATCATCTGCAAGGACACTTGGGAACTTGAACGTGGAAACCTCATTTGTTGTTCACGCCGCCCCGCGTTTTCAGTCGCCAGAAGGCCTTTTGTTTGAGAGCTCACCTCTCCAGTCTCTGGTTCTCTGGTACGCAGCAAGAATTAAAAGCGTGCTTGAGCGGTCATATGAGCCGGAGTCTAAACTCCTTAAGGGTGAATATCTAGGGAAGAATTATATAGCAACGAGTATAGGTGTTATGAGGGGGGATTCTGGGAGTTTAGACTATAGCTCAACCCTAGACCTTAAACCCTAAACCGGGAGAGCGGTCATTGCATGCCCAAGTTGGGGTCTTTGCATACACTTCAGATTGTAGGAAGGCTTGGTGCAGGGAGGTCCGGACTCCAAAAGAAAGCCCACGCCTGGGTGCTTCTCAAAAGGTTCCCCTCTGGAATCCTTAAGAAGGGCTCCCAGAATCCGTCCAGGATCCACATGTCCCTCCTACTTAGTTGGGTTACAAGGGAGCGGATCCCCATGCTTGTCCTTCGATACGGCTTAGAGTTTAGGATTACCCTTACCCTCAATACAACCCCAAATCGCAGTCCCTATAACCCACGTCCTCGTTCTCAGCGAATCCATTCCTCGCACTCGAGCAGCACTATTTCACCCAACATCACGAGCTCTTGCATTTAAAGCTTAAAGATGTTGAGCATTAGGGGGTGCGTACTGAACATTAGGGGGATGGGTCTGGTTCATGAGAAGACGATACGTCGTCAGATTCATGGTTCAGGGCTTGCCCTAAACGACAAAGTAGGGTTTAGAGTGTAGGGTTCTTGAGAATTTGTAGATGCACACTGCACACATATAAGATACTTGCAGAGTTTGCTATTGCGGGGAGAGACGATTATTCGAAGGTTGAGGCCGTCTGAGTTTTTCGCGTCTAGGGATCATTCTACCCGACAAGAGCTCCAGGCTCTGAATGGCAAAGCACACCCCTGGAAGACCCTGAATCCTTAGGGGCGAAATCCTAAAACCAAAGCCTGAAACCCTAATGTAGACCCATGATTAATAAACCCCCTCCCCTTAATAGGGAATATAATAGGGATCCTAATATTTGGGCCCTTAAAAAGAGGGGGGTTATTAATCATGGGTCTACATTAGACAACCTCTATAGGTGCCATGAAGTGCTTCGCATAGCTCCCATTGCATCAAGGAAGCATTCAAGCAAGAATTTGGCTTCCCCTGAGTCTCCGTCCCTAAAACCCTATGTCCAAACCCTAGTCGTAAACCCAAACCGTTTTCCTCAAGCCCCAAAACCCACAACCCCGAACCCTTAACCTTAAAACTTGTTCTGTATGGAGTCAAAGGAATCATTTGAATCCTTCCTATGAGCCCTAGCGAGTGTCATCCTAATCCTTTTCTGATCCTAGCATAATCCCGACCGTTTTCAGGAGCCCCATGTGAGAACCCTCCGTCTTTTGATTGCTGCAAGGAAGCAGGTCGGCAGTCCTGCTGATGCTCGACAGATCCGGGGGGGCAGGGGGATTTCGAGGTTTGGGAGGTTTGAGCGTTGTAAGCTCTTAATCTCAGGGAAGTTGATTGATGGAACCATCCTGCACAAGTTTATCATCCTACATGGACATCCGTACTATACTATATTAGAATATACCATAATATACTATAATGTGATACAATATACTATAATATGCAATAATATACTATGATACATTATACTATACTAGCAATAGTCCCTGACCCAAGACTGGGAAGCCTCAACCACAAGATTATGCAGCTCAGAGACTCTGACTAACGTGAGCATCAATCAAAAATACATCCAGGGCCCCGAAAAAAATTCTGTTCGGCAGTCTTGACGCAACCCCCCTGCTCCCGCACCCGCGAAGTACCGAGAGATAGAGCTCACAGGTAAATCTCGAAGGTAGGCTTACGTCTCGGGATCGTTGTCCAACACAGCGAGTTTTGGTTGGGGGGTTTAGGGTCTCGGGCTTGGGAGGGCGCCTTTCCAGGTGTTCTCTGATTGGAGCTTCTTAGATAGTTGTCCCATTTGCGAGATGCAGGATGGCCACTCTTACTGGGCATCTTGCTGTAACGTCATCAAGGGGGCCGGGCTATCTGTTACTCTGCTTTAACTATAGTCCCCCTTAAAGTAGATAGACTATGGGGTAATGGGGATCTTATTATAATATACCCAAAACCATATTCTATCTACTTCAGGGGGACTATAAGCATGGACCTTCGAGTGCCAGCGTGAACTTACCGGTGCTCCAGGATGAGTCCGGCAGTGGATCCCCACAAGCCCCATTTAGGGTTTGGGTTTAAGATTTAATTAGGGTTTAGGGACTAACCCCTTTTGATAGAATCGAAACTGTATTGCCTCCTGCACCCCAACCCCTAAACTCTACGAGAGTATGTACCTATACTCAAAACCCCCACCCAAAGGCCTAAAATCCCATCCCCATGACATACCCTACACTTCATTATAGTACTTCTATCCCTGCCCTGCCCCTCCCAATCCCTAAAACCCTACTATGGCACCTATCTTACCTAACCCATCCCAAGCCCTAAACCGTGTTATGGCACTACACTTACTCCCCCTTTCCATGTAAAACATATTCCCTTATACCCTACTGACCATAACCCTAAGCCCTATATATATATATATTATACACCCCTATCCCCTACAAACCCCCAGTTACGTAAGTTGGGGTTTAGGGTCCAGTAAAGCTGAGGTCTGGCATGTTGTTCGAGATGGCAAATGGGTGCAGGAAGCCGTTGTGAAATGAAGCATCTGCCAGTTCTGCGCAAAGCGGCACCTTGCCTGTTTGGGGCTAGTGGTTCTAAATTCACACGCAGAGTTTCCAAAACACCGTGGCCTTTTTTTACTGCCCGGATGTGACGAATACTGAAAGTGGGACGCCAGCTTACAATCTTCTGCGCAGGAACACTCATCAGTGGCGATTAACCATTATGTGCCAAATGGATGCACATCATCTACAAGCCAAGGGACAAGGAGGGTTTGACGAATCCCAAACCAGCTAAAGTTTTGAGTTTAGTGTTTGGGGTTTAGGGAGTGTTTTTCTTGGGGGGGGCCGTTGCTTCCACTGTTTCATGGAGGGTTCTAAGCGATAGTTTCTACGCTTTCAGTAGTATGTCGTTACCCGAGCATTGCAGAACTTGCCAGGAACGCTTAAATACTGCACGAGTCTCGTAGTGAGGAGTGGAGGAATGCATAGCCCCCATATCAATCCCAATGAAAACGGTCGTTTTCTGTGGGGATATCTATATACACATGCTCCCCCTCCCCATGAGCTGCCATTGGTGCGTCTGGGAGAGGGCGAGAAAAATCAAAAAGGAAAATTCCATGGGGCTGCTGTGGGGGGCCCTTCACTCCAGTGAATTTGGCTAGGTGATCATCAAGAAAGTATATCATATGCAGTGTATGTATGTATATGTAGGTGTGTGTATACATATATACAGGGTCTAGGGCTCGCGTACCCAACAAGTGGGTACTAGACCGCAAGGGTCAATGCAGTTTTGGGTTGCATAGTTTTGGGCAGGGCTGCCGCATTGATAGGCTGTAGCTGCGCAGCGCATTTGTGTACAGTTTCTTGGACACGTAGCTCCAGATGCCTCCTTGGCCAGCACTTCGGATCCCATTCTGGGCGGTCTTGGCTTGGGTGGCTTTCCTGGGAGCAACATTCATGTACAGCTGTACAGTCCTGTCCAGCAGCTTTAGTTGCTTTAGTCTGTGGTTTTGGTCGGCATGATCGTCATGCGACAAAAGGTTGAAAACCAAAGGGTCCATGTAGGCACATGGTATATACTCAGGGCCGAAAGGGGTTCAAGTCCTACTTTGTGGCCCAAATTTATACTATTTGCCTACATGGACCCTTTCAGAATTGGAGACAATGCCCTTTGAGTATCTTCGTGATAATTAGTGGCTAGGTATCCCAGTAGTACCATTTTTCCCTCCTTACTTTGGGGGTCTCCTTATTAAAGCTGAACATGAGGAAAAGGGTAGCCTTAGTATTGCGAGGTTACTGGGGAACCTACCGCGGAGTGGGGGAATTGAGGAGAGAGATGTCTGTCGGGGAATGCCGAGGGGTACTATATGAGCTATAGTCTAAAGCCCGTCAAGGGGGTTTATATGGGGATGAAATAGGGGAGTATTATAGGGGTTATTAAGGGGGATACCAGGAGTGTCTACTAAAGCTCATATGAGTGGTATTCAGTATTAGTGGCAAGGGCGGTACTAGTATCACTGCTAGGGGGAATTATGAGCACGGGGGAGCCTTGTGGGGAGTGGGTGGTTGAACATGAGCATGGACTGCTTGAGGATAATGCAGTTGGAAGGTAGTTCGGGTTTAATGTAGACCCAGCGTCAGTCATTATTTGAGTCTGGTCCCTGGTAGGGCATTATACCAAATGAGCCGAAAGCCTCAACCCTAAGCTCCAAACCCTAAAGCCAATTCTTAACCCCGAACCCCAAACCCTCAACCCTAAACCCTAAATGCCCTTCGCCCCCGTCGCCTTGGCTCAAACACTTGCCGTAAACGTTGAGGTCTAGAGTGTACATGCTACAGTCTTTGCTTGCCGGTCTTACATCAAAAATACAGAGCCGTGGCAGGTTTTACCAGCGTTTAGGCGTACGACTAGATGAGATATAGCTGCAGAGCTTGAGAATTCCTGGCCTTATCTTGCAGTCAAGAGTTTTTTCTGACATGTTAGGCTGCCACAGTAAAGAAGTGTTGTTCAACATTTTGTTGTGCATGGTTCTTCAACAACTCTCACGCAATCGCAGAACTATAACTGTCATTCTGTAAAGAGCTTTGCCTTCAGGGAACCTGCAGGTAAGTA